GTCTTCAAATTTTCGGCAGTTGAATTTTTCCAGAATTTTTCCTTCCTTTTGGTATATCACCGCGTTTTTTGTTGTTTGTGGAAGCGTTGCCTTAAAGAGTGCTTTGTGAATCACACCTCCACTAAATGTGCAAACTGCTTTGTTTGTTGCAGCCGAGCAAGTGCATACGTTACTGGCAATAGTGCAGTTGAAAATTTTCGCGTCTTCCATAGTGTGGCATTGTAGTTTACCGATCGTATGGGATAGAAGCTGCCCTGAAGTTGCAGATTTAGTAATGGCTGTGATTTCTCCGTTCGTGATGAACGTTGATGATAGGATAGGCATTTGCGAGATCATGGACCCAACTAGTGTGAATAGGATATTGTTCCATCGCACTGTTTTTGCTGGCTGTAAACGTAGATCAGTTCCTTCTGACATCTGATTGGTCTGAAGAGTTACGTGCACGTCCACAGTGAATTCCCATAGAGGGCAGTTGAAAACTAAGTAGATCGTTGTCGATTCTGGATAAGCGTAGTAACGATAAAATAAGCAGCTTGCTAAGGCAGAAAAAACATCCACCGCATGTCAGGCATCCACAGCTGGCGGCGCAGAATGAGTATCCAGGATGTCTGTTGGCTGTGTCGGAGAGTTCCTTCAACCAGTCGTTAGTTTTCGTATTGTCACATGTTCCTGTGCTGCAGCTTCCTGCGAAGCGACATTTGTGAACGGATTCGATGTAGAAATGATGGTCTCTTGTGGAGAACTCGATCCGTTTGTGACAAATAAAGTAGAGACATTCAACCCTGACAGTCAGTAAACCGATAGGCGTATCGTCGTAAGGAGTAAACAGGTCTCTTGGCTGAGTGGTTGAAGAGTGAGTATCAAGGCTTGATTGAAGTTGCAGCTTGTCGTATTCGGCTGAGGTGATGCATTCCTCTTCCGAAACGCTAAGTGTGACAACGTGTGAACATGGCTCGGTTTTCTTTAATGAAGGAAGCACAATTGTGAGTAGAAGTCTTCGCCGAGCTCTAGTGTAGGTGGCGAGGTTCCTTTTGACTCCGTATGAATTTTGATCCAATTCGTCTAATGATGAATCGAAGCAGTGAAAACATAAAGCAAAACGGACTGTGTAGATTACCACTCGCAAGGCTGGCTGTATCAGAGCGGTCAGCGGCAGGCGAAGAAAATTCCGATTGCCATGATGATTTGTGTTTTAGACCAGCAGTGTGGGTTGTACAGCTTTTCGAGGCAGATTGTGCAGTCCATGATTTCACAAATTGGTGAGGCGCGGCAGTTCAGATGTTGTTGATCAATGAGTTTTCCTTTACTCCATGCGGATACTTCAACTTCGTAGTTGAATGCTACGAATCTTGTTGGGAAAGATCACGTTGGAGTTCGATGGATCCCTTATGAAATGGCAGTAGTTCTGTATACATGCTTCGGGTGCATCCGTTGAAGGTGCGATGCTGAATTCAATTCCATCTTTCGCGCATTGTGCAGAGATGGATCCGCGTGAAGGTTCTGTGTTGAAGTGACCGTAGAAGTCCTCTTGTTGTTGTTCCCCACGCTTTGACTAGGAAAGTTGATTCTGCCATCAGAGTCGTGTATAGCGCACTTGGGTTTCCGAAGGTGCAAAGTATTTCAGCATTGTCTTGACATGAATGCTTGTTGCAAAACTGTGAAGTTCCAGTAAAGTGGTTTGGCCATTCGCTGCGACCCTTTGGTATCAAAACAGGTGAAGTCTCTGAGTCGATGTAATCCTTGATATCGATATGCAGTTCTGGTAACGAGAAGAGAGTCATCAAAGAGCTGGATTTGATTGAAGTTGTCTACTATTCTCTTCTTGTCGGAGAAAGGGTGAAAGAGCATACTTGTGGATTAAGATATGATGCCAATCCGAATGGTATTGTCGATAGCATTGACAAATTTCTGCGATGGCTTGTGCTGAACGAGCAGAATTTTGTCCATGATGGACATTTACATGGGAGTTCGCAAATTCTTTGATTGGGTTGGAAAGGAAGAGAGAAGTAAATTGCGCCGAGATGGCAAGATAGATGGAACAACAAGTGTTGTGCTTCATCCTGTGCGCTCCGTACTTGCCGCGAGTCTGCACGCTGGATGATTGCAGTGTGTGTATTGATGGTTTGGGGCGTGTTGATTTCCAGGGGCATCAAGTGCTCCTGAGGTTAAGCGGAGTACGATTAATGTGGGTATGCGTTTTGAGTATGTCCATTGGAAGCAGTGTAGGGGCCCAAGGGAACGAAATGTTGCGTTTTTGTGGTCAACGGTGCGCTATTTGCAGCGTACAAGGCTTGCCATTCCTTTCTCTGCCGCCCGCCACACGGTCTGTGCTCCGCCCCCTGCAGCGCGCCCTTCGATTGCCAATGTGACGAGATATCCACTTCCAGAGTACACTTAATCTTTCATTGGGATGTTTGATCATTCAGCATTGATGCTTGCTGACATGATTAGAGGCCAGCGTACATGTTGCAGCCTCTATTCGGGTTGTAGCTCGTCATTATCGCGGAGCGGAGGTCAACGGGCAAAGAAAGGGTCCCCATTTTGCGCCTTCTTGACGGATTTTTGCTTTTTTTGCCACTGGGGCATTATTCAGCATCTCCACTTCCACTATGAACCCAGTTCAAACTTATCGTAATCCCTCGCTTTAATGGGGGGATGAAGATTAACGCAACTGCAAGTAGATGGCTGAAGGAGTGGGAGACTTCTGATCAGCTGTCATATAGAGATCCCGAATTGTTAGAGATTGCGGCTTATCTTTGTCCGAAGTTGATGTCAGAGTTGTTTCCCTTTCCTTATCTTGGATTTCAAGGAATTACCGCATGGGTGAGTCACGCGGTAATTCTCTCGCAGATTTGTCAGGTATTTAGAGGCCCATCTCTTCCAAAAACGGTTGAGCATGTTGTCCATTGATTTCTAATCTTCCAGTAATTCTTCTCTCGTCGTCGTTCCCATTTGCTAGTTTCTTCGTTTATCGGAGGGAGTGATAAAGCTGTCCACGGGCTCAGAAAGTCCATTGGACGGAGCAGCGTGTTCTGATCGTTTTCTTCCACGTGGGTGAGAGGTTTGAGACGGTTGGCTATGTTTCGGTCTTTACCTATTTGTCCTGATTCCTTCTTTTGTGTTCACGACTTGTTCAAGAACTGATTGACGATATTTGAAGATGTGGATCAGTGTCGTCATACAGCGCCCTGCTGTTCTAAGAACGTGGTATGAGCTTGAATTCAATTTTCCTTTGGGCGCAAAAGTCCATCACGTCGGGTTCTATTTGTTTGCTCTTGTCTATCGAATTCTGAAGTTGGTCGATGATTGAATGATTTGCGTACTGTCGATAGATGCCATCTGCGTATGAATAGACGCGAAAAATCGAGAGTGGAGCCTGCGCAGAGTTATGATGATATCCAAGTACGATTATCACGTAGATTGCTTGAGTGTTCGATAGGAAAGTAGAAGAATCCAGTACTTTGAGTTGGTGTTGCTCTCGTTCTTGTAGACTAGTGGTCCCGCGTAATCCATTCCGCAAATTTCAAATGGGTAATGTGGTCTCCTTACTCTTCTTTCCGGATGTGCTGGAAATTGCGGCAGCATAGATGGTCGAGCTTTGTACCGTTTGCAATGGTAACATAAGTTGTTGATGACCTGCTTGACTGCTATTCTACTTTTGGTATCCAGACGTTGAGTCGCACTTCGCATAGTGTCTGATTCACTCACTTGTGATGAGTCCTTTGGTGTATGAGCACAGTGCGTTGCAAAATCATAGGACACCCCCCAAAATATGAATATCTCGGCTTCTAGAAAAAGCCGTCTATCGCAACTGGTAGAATCAGAACCGCCTCTATAAAAAACCTATACAAACAAGTAGCCAGATCATCCGAATAGTTTTCCGTATTTTTTTAGACAAGTTTTTTTTAGTTTTTGGTGTAGTCGTTGCAAAATCATAGGACACCCTCGGAATTCTTCTTACAGTTGAATTGTTTTTATCCATCCAGCAACGATGGTAGCACTTGCCGGTGTATCTTATCTATTGGAGCCACGGTGAGTTCCTCCTTTTCCCTCCGCGGAAAGCAGACTTTCTTTTATGCGCGATGGATGGCTGCATGAGTATAGGCTTTTTATGGAGAAACCATAGCTTTTTTGCTCCAATTTCTCACAACGAGAGTTAGCACCAGCGATAATAGGAATTTCGGGAGTAGTATAACTCATAGATTATGAACAAACCCATTGTACGGTCACCTGGTTGTAGCTCTACGAAAGAAAGGGATCAGAAATAAATCTATAGCAAAATTCATGGATCACTGATCGTAACTAGCGTAGGCGTCCTGTGCCTGTGTGTTAGGCGTTCTGACTGAAAAGAGAGAGATCTAACGAACGATGCGGACCGAAGATGATGCGATTTTCTCATTTAATAATAAGTATTGTTCCTTTGAGACCGCGCTTCTTCGATAATGAGCGGTTTAGCTTTTATGGTTCAGATGACTGGTGTTCACACGTAAAGAAATATGGACCAGGATTCGACTTATTCCCTCAACAAAATTATCGCTATCGTTTCCTAAAATGTGCTTATGCGTAACCTCATCCCGAGTTCCAGACCTGAAGTTTCTCTTCTATGTTTCAGTCAGAACGCGCTAAGTGCATGCGCACGCTTTGAGGACCACGTAGTTATATCAGTGCGAGTGATTTTGCTATAGGATTTCTAGACGTCATGTGATTTTGACTAATGTAATCTTCGAGTGTTATACTGATATCCTACTTGAAGAATATGTTGCTTATGCTATCTTATCTGATACATTTTGTTTCTATTCCTCGTTGGGCATTTGCGGTAAAAGTATGGTTTCTCCTAAAATGCTTCGATATCATGGGTGAGCATCGGGCGAGTTATACGAAGAAATATGGGTATGGATGGGTTATAGGCGGTTCTGTATGGGTTTTTTATAGAGGCGGTTCTGATTCTACCAGTTGCGATAGACGGCTTTTCTAGAAGCCGAGATATTCATATTTTTGGGAGGTGTCCTATGATTTTGCAACGCACTGTGTATATAGTGAAGTCATGTAGCTTTTTCGTGGAAGGAACACTGGAGTAGTCGTGGCAACTTTGCCTTTGAAATCCGCCCTTTCGATCTCCAGAGAGTGTTGCATTTGAAGAGTTGTAGTTGTTTCTCTACAGTTGAGGAAGGTGGATTTTTCTTGTGCCAAAGCGAGAATGGTGTTGGTTTGGGCTTGTATTCAACAGGTCTGATAGGATTTTCCACAAGTTGGTGCGCTTCGCTGGTTTTTTCGTAGCGACGGGACGTATAGTGTATGATGACGGCGTCTATCCTGTGCTGAATGAGTGGTGTCGTCAGGCGGGTGGTGCTCAGTGTGAACTCTTCTCCTCTTTTTGATGGAAGGCATTTACTTCTGGATCGGATGTGATGTCGACTGGCCACATGTCTTCGGACAGAGGTAAAAAGTCTGAACCACCACTACCGTTGAAAGTTTTGTAGATCGTCTGCAGCGTAGATAGCTGGTTATCTTATTGGTACGGACAGAACTGGCTATTCGCGTGGGCAGTTTCGGAATAGATTTCACCCGGGTTTGCATAACTTTGGAAGTCTTTTCTGTTTGACAGTGTTGAGGGCAACGCTGCTATCCGACCATATAACTGTCTTCTTACCCTCAATGTCCAGATTCTTGCAGATGTGTTTGAGAAGCTGGGATCCCAGAGTAATTGCAGAAAGTTCCAAGCGATGTATTGACATTTGTGTTTTTAGTGGAGCGAGTGATAGGTTTTGACATTATAGTGAGAATTTTCGGGCTTCAGAAATCTCTACTATGTAGGCTACCGTGCAGTATCCAGCTACAGAGGAATCCGAGAAAACTTGTAATTCGAAGAGTGATGATTTGGTACCTTTTATCACTCGTCTTGGGATGGTAAATGATTGCCAGACCATTTTTAAATCGTTCAGATGGGTCTGCGAGTTGTATAGGTTATGGACTTCATCCAGGAAGGGTCTTCCTAGTGCGCAAAGAATTTGCTATTGGAAAAGTTACGGGGAACACAACTCAGCTGATCGGATGCGCTGGCGATGCTTTGAGGACTTTTCCGTTACCGTCAATTCTTTTCGTGTGGAATGTTTCGGGAGTGGATCGACAGGGTATTTCCATCATGTCAGATGATCCCAATATTTTGTTAACGTTGGGAGGAAGGTGGTCTTCTTCTTTAGCGAAGAAGTCATTTAATTCTTCGAAATTGCTCAGGATAGCGAAGGCTCAGTCGGAAAACATTAGGTTTGAAGACGCGCGCGTGGACCGCGTGAGGAGGCATGTATGTATGATGGCGAATGGATCTGTACTTAATGTTCGTCAAAGGAACCTGTACTTTAAGGGGACAAGCGATCACATACTGCGTTTCACGACTGGAAACTTATCTAACATTCCCCATGTTAGAACCATGAATACTATTGGGTTTTCTCATAATTACTGTCGCAATTTCAACACTTTTGTTTACTCAATTTTTATCTCTTCTGGGAAACAACTGACTAATAGCATAACCACTGTCATGGTCACTGATATGCGTGCATTTGCTAGTGGGCGTTTGGAAGCTTCCAGCCCAGAATGAAGGAAACTGGGGGTTGAAGAATATGGAGAAGTCGTTTTTGGGGTGACCGCAATCTTTAACTTTCTTCTCTGGCAGATGCTTATTCAAAGCGCAGGGGAGGCGATAGTCCGATAGAGCGATGCCAATGCTATATGGTGGATGAGGTATTCGTGGCCCTGGCTATCTCCACAACGTGGTGAGCTGGCA